ACGAGCTCCGCACCAACTTGGACTCGGTAAAAGAGGTGCAAGACTTAGCCTATATTCGGACAACAACATACCTGCAGAAAGTAATTCGGTACTATAATGCTCGGGTCAATAAGCGACGGTTTCATATCGGCGACCTGGTTCTCCGGAAGGTTATGGTACCTGAGCGAAGTGTGGGTAAGCTCGGACCAAATTGGGAAGGACCGTACCATGTAAAATTGGTGTTTGGGGAAGGCACACATGAGCTCGAAACCATGGAAGGGAAGTAGGTACCTCGAGCCTGGAACGTCAACAACCTAAGAAGGTACAACTTATAAGTCCATGATGTAAAATTTTTTCCAAGTCCATGGGACCATCAAACTAGTCAAAAGGATTTGGAGCTGGAGAGAGGGCTATGAGTCACTTCCAGAGCCTAAGGGCCACATTGCTGAACTGACAGAAAACCTCGGTACTATGACAAGTCCTAGTTGCCTCTTCGGCATAGGCATACTCAATAAGTCCTAGTCGCCTCTTCGGCATAGGCATACTCAATAAGTTCTAGTCGCCTCTTCGGCATAAGCATACTCATTAAGTCCTAGTCGCTTCGGCATAGGCAAAAAGAAAAAAAGTCATTTCGACATGGGTAAGTGTGTAGCCCACGCATAGACAGGTCAGGTATATACCCTATAGTGTCTATCCACTTCGGCATACAGCAATACCGAGTTATTCCTACTTAGAGCCCAACTCGTTAGCTCGACACTTCGGGATAACCAACACTTAGAAAAATTTTTGCACATACAAGAGCTTGTTTCAAGTATGTCTCAGACTGGTAGACCAAGGTGTGGATCGAAGAGTTCACCCGACAAAAGAAGAAACAAAACATAAGTATTGGGGAAAAATCAAAGTATAAAGTGATCAAAGGTTGAGTACGTACCACCAGGCAATGTGTCACCGCTCTTTCCTCGAGTTGAACGGTCGATAGTTCGGCCCACCGAGTAGCCTCTTCGGCGAAGACTATATCTTTGCTCTTGAGGAAACCAAGCTTCGGACTCAAGATGCTCCAAGCTGGGATGTCACTGCCCGATGGGGCAGTTGCTTGAGCTCCCTAAGCCTTGGAAGATGTAGTTTCCTCGAGCAAATAAAGTGGGGAAGCCCTATCTTGGTCCTCCTCGACCAGGTCGATTACTAGTGGTTGTTCGGCATCGGTCGGGGGCTCAAAGGTGGTGGCACCGACGTCTGAGGTGGGAACCTCCTCATGAATGCAAGCCTTCTTGGAGGCCCTCTTCTTCTTCTTTCCCTTCTGCATGCCTTTGAAGAGCTCATCGGTGGAGAAGTCCGCCATGATAACTGTAAAAGGCAACGGACTGCATCAGATGCAACATCAAAGCAAAATAAAACAAGGAAAAAGTACGATGAATGGTGACCTACCGGGAGGGCTTAGGCCGGCTTGCACGAGCTTCTCCTCAGTCACAAAGTCCTTGAAATTCAGGCCAAGCTTCGTCCAAGCCCGAACTTGTTTATCTATCCTAATGCTAGGGTCCTAGATGGCAGGCCTCCAGTGAGTTGGAAAAGGCCATCCTTTCGCGTTACGGACCATGGAGTAATGTCTCTTCCAAGCCGGAACTTTGTTGGGGAGTTCGTGTAACAACTTGTACCCGGGGCGAGGAGACCTGTAATAGCTTTGCTTGTGCTCGGGTAGAACACAGGTCGAATTCTTTTTGATAGAAAGGATCGAGGAAAAAATGGCAAGGTCAAGAGGTTGGTTATAGTTATGGAAAGGGAGATGATACCTACAATGTTGCAAATGGAGTTCGGGTGGAGATGGTCTATGGCGAAGTCAAAGAATTTGACGATCTCGACTATGAAAGAATGAAGTGGGAAGCACAACCCGACTATGAGCTACTCCTCGAATACCACGATCATGTTAAGACCGTGCTCCCAAGGAAAGTTGCCTAAGGGGATTCTATACACTAAAGTGTTGGGTAACCTGTACCGAGCTATCAACAACAAGAGCCTATCTGTTGTCATCAAGGATGGGCCAAAGCTATCCGATTGACGACCTCGATGCAAAGTGGACGTTAACCTCCTAGAAGCCACGTGCTCTTGCCGAGGTGACTCCGACTCAAATGGATAGGAGCCCACCTCCTGCCCCAAGGTACCCACCTTGGCAGGATGAAAGTCCATGGCTCAAGCCGAGGTGCCCACTTCGGCCCTAGAAGACCCACCACCCCCATCCAAAAGGCTATCTAAACTAAGGCTAGACATAACGGATTAAAAGGAAACAAACGAACTTGAAGTAAAAAAGAGGGCAGGGCAAGGCGAATTCACCGTAAAACAAAAGAGGAAGTAAACTACCCCAGATACAAGACACGAGATGAAGAACAGATGCGCGACCTCAACTCTCAAATGCACTTTGAAGGATGAAGGAAATGGGACCTGGGTCCCCCTATTTATAGCCACAATACCCAGGAACTGATGATTCAGATTGACACAATCCTACGATTCTCGTGAAAATTGACTGCACTCCCCTCAAGGAAGATTTCGATTGAGCACGATTTTTGGCGTCTACGGAGTTAATAACCCGCATCCCCAACACGCGATCTGGTTTTTCTGATTAAGCCACATGAGTTACATTGGTCCGACCATAAAACTAAGAGGTGAACCAAGAAGAAATCAGGTCAACCTACTTGCGTTGACCGTGAACTCCCCGCACTGGGGTTACGACCCCTGGCACGGGGAGTGGGGGCAATTGATGAAGGGTGATTTGCCTCAACCTAGCAACCGAGGTACACGTAGATGTAATCAGCGAGTAGGATGACAATTCAACAAGGGAAGCTTTGTTAGTAACTCGAGAGCTTGGAAACTTGAGCACCTCGGCATAAAGTCATCTCAGCATAAAGGCACCTCGGCACCTAAGTTAGTTTGGGGCCAAGGAACCAAAGTGCCACATAATCAACTCTAGAAGCTTCCCAACGGGCTCCGAATCTCTCGGGATCACGACATCTAATAACAGGGCTCATCTTCACTCCGTCCAAACCGGAGGGAAGTTATAAACCTTATCAACTAGAGCATTGCTCTCCTTCAAAAATAGAACGGATCTTATCTATGCAGCCCGGAGATCCTGGAGCCTTTTCGTAAGATTCATGGCTACCCAACTATATAAGGGCATCAATCCTCAAGGCGAAGGTATGCACGATTACTTGCACTCAAGCTCTCTAGCATTCATACCTAGCTCACAAATACAATAGAGTATTGACTTAAGTATTGGAGCAGCCTCACCGGGTCTTCCACCCCAGTCTCTCTGAGCCTTGTTTTACAAAATGATTCAAATCACCATGCAAGTACGTCCAAACAATTCTCCAACTAGAAGCTTCCAGATCATGCACCATCAATTGGCAAAGGGTCCGTCCATCCACTTCTCTCTCTCTCTCTCACACACACACAACAGAGTTCTAAGTTCAATGAGAAAGGGAGAGGTAATGCCGTCTTTATATTTTACCATTTCTTTTTCTAAAAATTGACACCAAGGAGAACTCTCAAAGATGTCCCAGGATAGACACTCATTCTCTACTTTATAACTCCTGAAGAAAGCAATCTGTAAGTTTTTATATTCTTTAGATAGTTTGTTCTTTCAGTTCTATTGCAGGACCTAATTCGTAGCAGACCATAGTCTAATGTATCTATTTTATCCTATTAGCTTCGCCTTCTCTTCTTAACGTTTCTGAATTCGATTGTTGATATTTTTTAGCAATTCCAGTCACCATTTTCCGGCAACGTTGCCGTCGTAGAGTGGATCTTAAAACAGTGTGACAACAGTGCTTCGATATCCTGCTATGAAGCATTGTATTTTCATTTTGTATATGGCGGTTTTCTGGGCCCTAAGAGTATTTTACTACCAATTAATTATTAACGAATAGGGAGATCCATTAAGAGTATTTTACTACCAATTAATTATTAACAGTAAATATTAACATAATTAATAAAAAAAGTAAAATTTTATTAATAATTATTATTTTAAATTATTAACAGTAATTTACTAATAAAGGGGCATTTATTTTTGAGATTTTGAGAGGTGGGAAAGTTAGTCAATCAGATTAGGAAAAATCTATTTTCCTAGGTATTATTTATCCGGATAAGTGATACCTACCTCCTAGGTGGGTAAATAACTTTCCTGGAAAAGTTGTCAATACTTGAATCAGACAAAAATACCCCTTATAATAATAGATTTTTGTGGCTAAAATGGTCATTATCTTATTTATGTAGAAAATAAAAGAATTAATTTACCGTTAAACAAATGGGGCCTAAGAATTAAGTTTCTTAAAAATCCACTATGTTAGTTACATTAATAACGTTTTATAATTACCTTACCTTGAAGGTTGATTAAGTTAATTTAGTGTATATTAATTTGTTTCTGCTAAATTAGATAGAATATTAACTCATCTTCTAACAAAAATATCCTTGACATGCATGGTAATTAATGGATGTCCATTTTAAAATATTGTTTTAGCCTAAACCAATTTCTGATAAAATATTAATTGGATGTCCATTTTAACAATAATTAAAATTAAAAAAAAAAAAATAGATGCCCACGCTGGTGGGTGGGGTGCAACTTGCATGCGTTCAAGTTACACCATCAAGATCATAGGCTAGTCCAAGTCAAGTTGGGTTAGGTCACAAATGATCATCGAGTAATGTGATTATAGGATGAAATATGTGATACTCACATAAAGAAAACACAGGCGATCACATCAGCGCCCCACTGTCACCCCACCTGCACATCTCAGCGTGCATTGGGAACATCTCCCATATTTATCATCTCCGATTTCCCAATACAAGGTTGGGATGTGCTGTGGGGCGCTGATGTAAACCCTCTACACAGGCCGTCAACTGCAGTTAATCAAGATTGTTGGAAGCAAAAATTGCTACCAAAATGGGCGGTAAAGATTAGCATTATTGGTTAAACAGCCTCTAACATAGCCAACATGTGCAGCTAACCCGGGGTGAGAGAGAGAGAGAGAGAGTACCATATCGCCATGTCCTGCTCTGTGATCAGCATGTGGTCGATCCATCCACTCAGGAGTCAAAAATTCCAAATTATTATTATAACGCATCATCGATGTACAACCATCGGCACACAAGTTCTCCAACCTTGGTGGGAGCTCAGGGATTGATTGAAGTTTTTTGCTATTACTTAACCAAAGTTCCTGAAGCTGAGAAAGACGATTGATGCTGACTGGTAGGCTAGAAAATCTGTTCCAGCAAAGACGCAGCTCTTTCAACGAGGACAATGTCTCTAGATTTGTCAATGTTTTCAACGACCAACTGTCTGCATGCAAGGCCTTCAAATTCAGAGGAAGCTCTGGAAGTGATTGAAGTTTGTTGCAATCATCCAACACAAGCAACTTAAGCTCAGAAAGGTGATTGAGGTCTGGTAAGCTACAAAATGCATTGGAGCTTAGATCTAACTCTTGCAATGACTGTAATCTCCCAATATCAGCTGGAATTGCACTTTCTAGTGTATTGCAGTAACTAAGACATAACCTTCTTAACAAGTGTAAACCTGAAACTGGAGCTGGTGATGTAGTGATACCACAGCCAAGTTTTGAACATCCAGATATTATAAGCTGTCTAAGAGATTTCGACTCTTCAAGGCTACTTGGAAGATTCATCAGACTCGTGCAATCTCTTAGATTCAAGAAAACAAGCTTTTCAAGATGTCCAATGGAATGGTGAATCTGAACCAAACTTGTACAATCTTCAAGAATCAACTTCTCAAGATTAGGTAGCTCCAAGAAATCAGGGGTTTTCTTCAAGCAATGGGAGTGACTAAGATTAAGGATTTCCAACTTTTTGAGAAACTGTAGATCAAAAAATACCAAGAAAAAGGAATTACATTTCCATCAAATATACATTTGGTATATAAATAAAAAATGAAAACCAACAAAAGTATGCTTAACCTTGGCTTCCTTCCAAACTTTTCTGATGGTACTATATTGCATGTCAAGGATAACGAGATTCTCCAAATGAAAACTGGTTGGGATAGACTTGTAAGGGAACCCGTGCCAACATAGCCAACTTAACTCATTGGTGGAAAAATGTCTAAAGTCCCCTCTGAGTTGCACATAATTTAGCTGGAGCAGCCTTAGTTTGCTCATATCTGCAAATGCTTTAGTACTCCATTGTGAGTCTTTTGGCTGAGGAAAGTTCACTACAAGACCTTCAATTTCTGCTGTTCCCTGGTAACAAATCCAATTGGGTAAGTAGAAATGTACAAGCACAAAGATGCACACACATACACACATGTTCTTACGTTTTGTCTTGTCAATACAACACGAACATCGTCAGGGTCCCACAATCTGCTGCGTTTTTCAGGAGAGTCTGGGTATTTTTCACGAACAATTTCCCTCCCCATGTCTCGAAGTAAATCATGCATTCTTAGTTGATTCTTGTAATTGATGCTTACAAGAGACAAGCGAGTGAGAATACTCAACCCAATTTCTGGGAAGAAATCACAGCCATGTAGTATTTTACTTACATAGTTTCTGTCCATTCCAATGAAGAAGCATGCAATGTCAAGGAATATAAACTTCTCATTATCATCTAGGGCATCAAAACTTATTTTAAGTTTCTCTTGAATACTAGCTTGAGGAATTCGTTTTAGCTGGTCCACCACATTATGCCATTCCCTTTTGTGAGATAAAAGTGAACCTAAAACCTCAAGAGCTAAAGGAAGCCCTCCAGCATATCTTACTACTTCCTTTGACAGATCCTCATAATCTTCTTTAGGATGATCCTGCTTAAAAGCATGCAAACTAAAGAGATTCATCGAGTCCTCTGGGCTTAATGTTTGAACCATATATTTTTCATCCACTTTTACCCGGTTCAGAAAAGACTCATCTCTAGTTGTTATGATGATTCTACTACCATTACCAAACCCTCTACAACCCCTTATTAATTTATCTACTTGGCACGATTCGTTTACACCATCCAAAACAACAAGAACCCTTTTCTTACAAAGTCTCTCTTTGATCACATTGATTCCTCTGTCAACATTTCCTATCTTAATCAGGTCCTTTTCCTTTAGAATTTCAGAAAGAAGTTGTTTTTGTAACTTAAGTAAATCATTTTGTTGCTCCAAAGCTTCAAGAAAGCTGCTGCCTTCAAATTCTTCATAGATACAGTTATAGACAGCTTTAGCAATGGTTGTCTTACCTATTCCTCCCATCCCGTAGATGCCTATGATGCGAATGCCATTTGAAGAAAGACTTAACAATGAGATTACATGTATTACACGAGAATGTATTCCAATTACATATTTGCCCACATCCAAGTGTGTTTTATTTAGTTTTGTCGAAACCTCTCTTACAATCCCATCTATGAACTTTGCTTCATACCTGCCAATTGTGATTCAATTAAGAATATTTAATGATAACAAGCAATGGTAGAGAGCAAAAATCAATGAATTAGCTAAGGCATAAAAAGTGACTGTAGCATCTCAGATAAGAAGGATATGAAAAACTTTGGCTGTTAGGGAAAACAGGCTAGGCTATTTGGGAGCTTCCTGTGCATGAGCATGACACATTATCCCACTTAATTCCTAGCTTGTCTTTTTGACTAACAGAATATTGTTGCAAATAAGAATGCAATTTAGGTCAGGTTGGAAATTTGTTAAAATTGCAGTGAGTCCAAACACTCACCTGATCCTGATGTAGTTGAAATTCTTCAAATCAGGCAACCCATCTTGCGAACCTAATTTCAAATACTCTTCTACCCCACTTTTTCCAAACAGCCAAACTTTCCCCAGAAGATTATGGAATGTTAAGTAGTACTTGAAAATTGAAATAATTACATAGTTCTGTTGAGTGCTAGTACCCAATTTTGTCCCGTGCCTTATCTCTTTTCATTTTCTGAGTCCCACCCCATCGCTCTGCTGTTAAAGCACAAGAGCACCTTTTAAGCTTTCTATTAGGTTTCTTAAAGTTAAAAGAATACTAAAACCACCATCAGCACATGTCAAAATTCAACCTCTTCACTATTTCATTGAGATTTGAAAGTTGAAAGGTTTAGGACCTCTATGAAGTGTGTATAACCCTGGGCTTGAACGCTCCTCACAACCTTACTGGAAGATATATTCATTATTCATTAACCATCAAAGTTTCTGGATGTTAAAATTCAGTCCAAGGTGCCTTCTACTTAACCCTTTATCATATAATGTCCCTTAATTAGCCACCAATCAGTAACCAAGTAAAGATCTCAGCTTCGCTTCTTGGAATTAAGAGATCCCAGGTTTAGCCCAGAAAAATTTTTGAGTGATCCGAGCAAGGTTGCTTAATTTTCAAGTAGTGAATTGGGAAATACGTTCAGATTTTAAACTTTCGAGTAAGAAATTAGTGAACATTTTAATATAATCTACTAAGAACACAAAAGTTGAGCAGAGGGGTTAGTTACCCATCACCAAGATCCCACTTGACCAAACTTGCAGCTTCCGTGAGAGCTGACCTCCATCTCTGCACCTTCTCCACCATCTCACTCTCTTCGTGTTTCGCAAATGCTTCTGCAAAACTACCCGTCTGTTGCTGGACATCGTCCGGACCGATGTCGTAGAAGACAGGCAGAACCACCTGACCCAGCGTTCTCTTGCATTCAATGATTTTCGAAAGTTCATCCAAGCACCATCTAGAAGAAGCGTAGTTCTTGGAGAAAACTATGATTGAGATCCTTGATTTTTCAATTGCTCTCAACAGCTCTGGCGAGATCTCTTCTCCTCTGCTGAGTTCTTCATCATCTATGAAGGTGTTGATCCCTCTTTGACCCAAAGCGGTATAAAGGTGGTCCGTGAAGTTCTTCCGAGTGTCTTCACCTCTGAAGCTCAGGAAGACGTCGTAGTTTCCTGTCCAGGTCGAAGAAGCCATGGAAATAAAAGGAAAAAAAAAGCACAGGAAATCGGGAGAGATCAGAGGTAGAACAGGCTTGATCCTTGACGCTATTCTGCGAAGTCGTTGCTTTGCCCTATATGTTTTGATTTGTTTTTGGAAATTGGAACTGATGCCTTTAATCGTTTCAATTGCCAGGTTTTGAGTTCAGGTCACAGCTCACAATTAAAAATATGTAAAACAATATTAAACTGTTGACTTTTGGCTTATTTTTAAGAGTGGTGATCAAATGAGTGTGTTATCGTTGTACAAACAGTCTACCATGTTTTTCCCTGCTTTGCTCAAATTTTCAGTCTCCGACAGTAAAAGAAATGAAAAATTTTATCTTCTTTGAATGAGTCCGGATTACCGCCCGCACATTCTCCACACATTTCTTTCTCTAGCCAATCTGTATATCTATACTATCTATATTATATTATTTTATATATAAAAGTGTGAATGATATATGAATTTTTTTTATTAAAATTATTCTTTACTTTTTGTAGAAAGGTATAAAAGTCATTTTATTACAGTTTTAATGACTACTAAAATATCCATAATTGTGTATTTAGTTCATATCTAATGGTAAGTATTGAAAATGTAATTTAAGTTGTTATTTCTATCTCATTTAATCCCCTCTTGTAATTAAATTATCAACTCCCATTTTCCTTTATTAAATTAGATTTGTGTCAATAATTTTAATAATATAAATCCATATATTTTAAAACTGACTCAAAAACAAAATTAATTTTAATTCAAGTGGTGGCTAAGCAATTCAACCATCTGAATCAAATTGATCAACCTACAAAGGCACACTTAGGTAATAAAAATTTTAAAATAGAAATAAATATAGAAATTTACAAAAAAATGTAGAAAATTAGACACGATTATGATAATTTTATTAATCCAATTAAAAAATAAGTGCAGTAAACACAAATTATTTTTATTGGTAATGAAAATAAAATACATAATTTAAAACTGACCAAAAATGAAATTATTTTACTGTTTGGAAAAGGTCAATAGTTTAAATTTTGGGTCAAACATGTTAAACTTTAATGTAATAAATAAATAATAAAATATAATAAATGAAAAAAATACATAAATTTTGCAAAAGACACATTTAGCCACAAGTATAATATCACATATTTATCATATTAAACAAAAAGTAAGTGTGACATATTGGAATTATTTTTACACACAAAAATTAAAAAAAAAAGTTATAAAAAAAATTGAACACATCTATAATTCTATATTTACACAACTATTAAAAATATTAAGAACATTGTAGAATTTCTTTTGAATAAAATACTCAATTTTGAATTTAGTCCCTATTTAATTAAACTTTACAACTCAATCCGATTATCACATATTTGGATGAGGTGTTTATGTAATCAAATTTGGATTTGCAATCCGCATCCAATTAATAATAAATGTAGTAGTTCAAATTACATTTTATGCCCTCACAAGTGTAGAGACGAAATTCAAAAATAGGATTTAATGAATGTTAGTGGGAGTTATTACATTAAATATGACTTAATGAAAAGCATTTGAATGGAGAAAAAAGTGGTTGATCAAATTATGTTTATGTCCTTACAATGAGAGAGAGAGAGAGGGGAAGATCTCTCGTTAACACTTTTTATAGTAGTATAGATATGGTCTTAGAGCTTTTGTTCATAAATGTTGTTCATTTAGTTTACTGTCACAATTAATGTTTTTTATTAAAAAACAAATTTGCCCCATGATAGCTCAAGATTAAGGGATAAATTATGTCCAATGAAAACTCCAGACAATAAGATCCATTCACACTTTTATAAAGAGTATAGATATAGATAGTATAGTGTATGGATAGATATAGATTGTGTGGGGAAAGGAAGACGGGAAGAAGCCTTTCAAAGTCTAAAACTCCTTTTCTATTTTATGTGCAAGATTCCTAAGGCATCTGAGGGAGTTTCTTGAAACAGTTAGGGGATGTTCTAGAACATGAATGCTTTAATTTTTCTAATCAAAGAGCAGAAAAACAAAGGCATCCTCTTGAACTCTACTTTTGTTTTCAAAGAAAAACACAAACAAAAATTCAATAACATGTTTTTGGTTTCAGTTTTTGAAAACAAAAACCATATACATCCAAGAACATTTTCTTTTTTTTTTTGTGTGTTTTCATTTCAAGAAACAATCTATTTTCAAACCAGATGGTTATGTGTTTTTGAAATTGGGCAACAAGAGAAAAAACATAATTCACATTGTAGAAGGTTTCATTAACTAGTAAACTAAATGGCTGTTTAATGGACTGTAAAACGAATGATAACACCCCATACGCTAGCTATAAAATACATTATATATGAGCATTACGTTCAGTTCAGCCAATCCGAATTATAATCTGCATCTGTGATCACATCAGGTACCAACTTTATTATCGGCAAAGGGACAGGTATCCTGATTGGTCCGATGTAAGGGGCAAAATTGACCACCCTTGGGGCCTCGGCCCTGTCACCATTTTCGACCCTCATCCTCTCAGCCCATGGTCTATCATCTACTAATAACAATCCCTGTTTATCAGCAATGCTATCCCCCTCAAATACGAGCTGCACGGCACACTTCTCCACTAGAAAACTGTTGGACGTGCCCACAACAACGCCGTATCGATGCCCGCTTCGGAAGCAGGTAGCCGGTCGAATGCGGGAATTACTAGTAATTGGAGGCATCCAGTCGCTATTATGCGGTACGTGACACAGCCAAATGTGCCGCTCACCGTTTGCTGGTAGCATAACACGTTGTGAGTAGGTCCAATTACGCTCGGTGGTATAATCGCTGATACGTATGGAAGCAGCAGGATCGAAGCGCAAGCTGTTTCCTGCAATGGCTACATAAACAACGCATACATTCAAAGCTCGGACCTTCCTGTCGAAAGGCATCATGAAAGTTGCTGAACACCCTTCTTCTTGATTGCTGAACCACCCCGGAATATCTCTCCCAGGAAGAAATATATTACAGGGAAGAGGACGTCCCCGAGCCTGCACAGAGATTCATCAATGGATTAGCTAGGTAGCACAACTACATTGAAATGATGGCAGCAGATCTCATTCCTAAATTGCTTCTTTGTTTGCAGCATGGATTGGCTGCATGTGGCAACAATGAGATCGGATTAGCTGAATATCATGGCTGTTTTACTGGATGAATCAGTCATTTTGTTCAACACCAGTCATTTTGTTGAGCAAAATGATTGATCCCACAGCCATCAAAGCAAAACAGCCATCAGATTCAGCTAATCAGGTCTCCACAACAAAAAAGGGGCCGGGGAGAGCCTGTCCCCCTACTCATAAACCCACAACCCGGGTCTACAACCAGCCAGAGAACTTACCAAGCCACCATCAGTTGGTGGATTTACATTTCCATTCAGTATGTGATAGGTATTCCCATACATATGATATTGGGACACCTTTCATAGGAGTGCAGAAGTTGAGGAAAAAAAGTGAAGACATAGATACAGGTATAAATTTTATATGGTCTAGACAAGAAAATTTTGGCTTATCTCCGCATGACACTTTAGTTTACTCAAACTCCTAATAGTGTCAGTGGAGTCTGGATTGGCTGCATTTGATAGCTGTGTTAGAAGCTGTTTAACTAATAATAACCCCTGGGTGCCAATTGAGAAATTGGAATGGTTGTGGAGCATATACACTTGATGGCTGAGGTGGGGCATTATTATTGGTTAAACAACCCTATCACGAGAGCGGATTAGCTGAATTTCATGGTGTAGAGCACTATTATTGGTTCCACAGCCCGTAGCATAGCCATCAAATTCAGAGAGAGAAAGGGAGAGGGATAGTACCGGATCGCTGTGTTCTGCGGCCATATGATCAGCATGCATTGGTTCGATCCACTTAGGAGTCTGAAATTCCAAGTTGCAATTATTAAGAATCAGCAATTCACAACCATCAGCACACAAGTTCTCTAACCTTGGTGGGAGCTCAGGGATTGATTTAAGCCTTCTGCTATAACTTAGCCAAAGGTCCTGAAGCTGAGAAAGACAAGTAATATTGTCTGGGAGGCTAGAAAACCTGTTGTAGCAAAGATGCAGCTCTTTCAAAGAGGACAAGATCTCCAGATTTGACAATGTTCTCAACGATGAGCAACCATCTGCATGCAAGGCCTTTAAACCCAGAGGAAGCTTTGGGAGTGATTGAAGTTTGTTGCAATCATCCAACACAAGTGAGTTAAGCTGAGAAAGGTGACTGAGGTCTGGTAAGCTACAAAACTTATTGAAGCTTATATCCAACTCTTGCAGTGACTGCAACCTACCAATGTCGGCTGGAATTGAACTTTCTAATCTATTGCAATAACTAAGAAATAACCTTTTTAAGAAGCGTAAACCTGAAACTGGAGCTGGTGATGTAGTGATGCCATAGCCAAGTTTTGAACATCCATGTGTTATTAGTTGTTTAAGAGATTTCGACTTTTCAAGGCTGTTTGGAAGATTCATAAGACTCGTACAATCTCTTAGATTCAAGGAAACCAACTTTTCAAGATGCCCAATGGAATAATGAATCTCAACCAAACTTATACAGTCTTCAAGAATCAACCTCTCGAGGTTAGGGAACTTCAAGAAATCAGGGGTTTTCTTCAAGTAATGGGAATGACTAAGATTAAGGATTTCCAACTTTCGGAGAAACTGTAGATCAAAAAATACCAAGAAAAAGGAGTTGTATTTCCATCAACTATACATATGATAAATAAAAAATGAATACAAACAATATACAGTATGCTTACCTTGGCTTCCTTCCAAACTTTTCTGATGGTACTATGTTGCATGTCAAGGATAACGAGATTCTCCAAATGAAAACTGGTTGGCATAGACTTGTAAGGGAATCCGTGCCAACATAGCCAACTTAACTTATTGGTGGAAAAATGTCTGAAGTCCCCACTGAGTTGCACATAATTCAGCTGGAGCAGCCTTAGTTTGCTCATATCTGCAAATGCTTTAGAACTCCAGAGTGAATCTTCTGGCTGAGGAAAGTTCACTACAAGACCTTCAATTTCTTCTGTTCCCTGGTAACAAAGCCAATCAGGTAAGTAGAAATGTACAAGCCCAAGGGCGCATGTATATATACATACACATATACTTGTTCTTACCTTTTGTCTTGTCAATACAACACGAACATCCTCAGGATCCCACAATCTGCTGCGTTTTCCAGGAGAGTCAGGGCATTCTTTACGAACAATTTCCCTACCCATGTCTCGAAGCAAATCATGCATTCTCAGCTCATTCTTGTTATTGATACTTACAAGAGACAAGCGAGTGAGAAAACTTAACCCAATGTCTGAGAAGAAACCACAACCAAGTAGTATTCTACTTACATAGTTTTTGTCCATTCCAATGAAAAAGCATGCAATGTCAAGGAATATGAACTTCTCATTATCATCTAGGGCATCAAAACTTATTTTAAGTTTCTCTTGAATACTCTCTGCTGGAATTCTTTTTAGTTTGTCCACCACATCTTGCCATTCCCTTTTGTGAGATAAGAACGAACCTAAAACCTCAAGAGCTAAAGGAATTCCACCAGCATATCTTACTACATCCCTTGAGAGATCCTCATAACCATCTTTAAGATGATCTTGCTTAAAAGCATGCAAACTAAAGAGATTCATCGAGTCCTTTAAGCTTAATGTTTGAACCTTATATTTTTCATCTGCTCTTACCCAGTTCAGAAAAAACTCATCTCTAGTTGTTATGATGATTCTACTGCCATTACCAAACCATCTACGATCCCTTACTAATTTATCTACTTGGCTCTTGTTGTTTACACCATCCAAAACAATAAGAACCTTTTTCTTACAAAGTCTCTCTTTGATCACATTGATTCCTCTGTCAACATTTCCTATCTTAATCAGGTCCTTTTCCTTTAGAATTTCAGAAAGAAGTTGTTTTTGTAACTTAAGTAAATCATTTTGTTGCTCCGAAGCTTCAAGAAAGCTGCTGCCTTCAAATTCTTCATAGATACAGTTATAGACAGCTTTAGCAATGGTTGTCTTACCTATTCCTCCCATCCCGTAGATACCTATGATGCGAATGCCATTTGAAGAAAGACTTAACAATGAAATTACATGTATTACACGAGAATGTATTCCAATTACATATTCACCCACATCCAAGTGTGTTTTATTTAGTTTAGTCGAAACCTCTCTAACAATCCCACCTATGAACTTTGCTTCATACCTGCCAATTGTGATCCAATTAAGAATATTTAATAACAATAAAAGCTTAACAAGCAATGGTAGAGAACAAAAATCAATGAATTATCTAAGGCATAGAAAGTGAATGAAGCTTATTTGGATGTAGCATCTCAGATAAGAAGGATAAGATAACTTTGGCTGTTAGGGAAAACAGCCTAAGCTATTTGGGATCTTCATGTGCATGAGCATGACACATTATCCCACACAATTCATAACTTGTCTTTTTGACTAAAAGGATATTGTTGCAAATAAGAATGCAACTTGGGTCGGGTTGGAAATTTGTTAAAATTGCAGTGAACCCAAACCCAAACCTGACCCTGATGTAGTTGAAATTCTTCAAATCAGGCAAACAAACTTGCGGCCTTGATTCCAAAATACTCTTCTACCCCACACCCATGGTAACATATCATGTGCAGGAAGCTCCCAAACAGCCCAGACCACTTTTTTCAAGCAGCCCATTTTTTAAGCTTTCTATTAGGTTTCTTAAAGTTAAAAGCATACTAAAACCATCCGCATCTCAAAAGTCAACCTCTTCACTATTTGGTTGGGATTTGAGAAAAATGGTTTAGGACCTCTATGAAGTATGTATGACCTAGGGCTTGAACGGTCATCACAACTTTGCTGGTGGATTCATTAACCATCAAAGTTTCTGAATGTTAAAATTCAGTCCAAGGTGCCTCTTACTTAACCCTTTTATCATGTAATGTTCCTTAACTAGTCACCAATCAGTAATCAAGTAAAGATCTCAGCTTCGTTTCATGGAGGTAAGAGATCCCAGGTTTAGCCCAGAAAACTTTTTGAGTGATCCAAGCAGGGTTGATTAATTTTCCTTATGAAATGAAAATTTCAAGTAGTGAATTGGGAAACACGTTCAGACTTTAGAATTTCGAGTGCAAGGCAACCTACAGTAATTTTCTCTAAATACAAATAATTAGTAAAAATGTTTATAATCTACTGAAAAAAGAAAGGTTGAGCAGGGGTTGGTTACCCATCGCCAAGATCCCACTTGGCCAAGCTTGCAGCTTCCGTGAGAGCTGACCTCCATCTCTGCACCTTCTCCGCCATCTCACTCTTTTCGTGTTTCGCAAATGCTTCTGCAAAACTACCCGTCTGTTGCTGGACGTCGTTCGGACCGATGTTGTAGAAGACAGGCAGAACCATCTGACCCAGCGTTCTCTTGCATTCCATGATTTTCGAAAGTTCATCCAGGCACCATCTAGAAGAAGCGTAGTTCTTAGAGAAAACGATGATTGAGATCCTTGATTTTTCGATTTCTCTCAACAGCTCTTGCGAGATCTCTTCTCCTCTGTTAAGTTCTTTATCATCTCTGAAGGTGTTGATCCCTCTTTGAACCAAAGCGGTATGAAGGTGGTCGGTGAAGTTCTTTCGAGTGTCTTCACCTCTGAAGCTCAGGAAGACGTCGTAGTTTCCTGTCCAGGTCGAAGAAGCCATGGAAATAAAAGGACCAAAAAAGCACAGCAAATCGAAAGAGGTCAGGATAGAACGGGGCTTGAGGCGATTATGCGAATTCGTTGCTTTGCCCTATATATATGGTTTTGATTTGTTTTTGGAAATTGGAACTAATGCACTTAACTATTTCAATTGCCAGGTTTTGAGTTCAGGTCACAACTCAACGAAAAAAAAAATGTAAAACAATATCAAATTGTTGTTTTTTTGCTTATTTATTTAAGAGTGGTGATCCAATGAGTGTGTATGTGTTCTCGTTCAAGACCCGAAGCATTCTACCCTGTTTTTCGCTCGATTTCTCAAAATTTCAGTCTCCGACAGTAAAAGAAATGTAAATACCAAAAAAAAGACAGTAAAGAAATGAAAAATGTTCTCTTCTTTTCCGGCCAATGAATGAGTCCGGCTTACCGCCGGCTTAGCACTGAATAAGATCGTTCTCCCCCTCTTTCTTCCTGTAGCCAATAATAAGAAATTCTTGAAAAAAAGCTGAAAGCTCTTTCAGTCTTCCTGCAAGTCTTACAGTACAGGAATGATCGTGGGCCGGGCCGGGCTTAGCACCAAACGGTAGGGGTGCCTAGGCCCAGTCCCAGCCCAGCCGCTACCCGGGGCCTAAATTGCAAGCCCAGGCCTAGGCGGGTTTACAGTCTTTTTGAGCCTAATGAACAATAAATTAAGATAAATTTATAATAAATAGTATTCAAAATGGAGAATGATACGACTGTTGAGAATGTTTTTGGAAATGACATGTTGGCCCATTGAATCTCTGCTTGTTTTTTTGATTAAAATAATATTAGAAATATTTGAAGATTAAAATATTTTATAATTCTTCAGAAATATAAATGTGCACATTTGATTTCCCACTTGGGAGTTTAATTGTCCATGTAAATTTGATGAATTGGGCATTGATGGTGATTGGACATCACCTATTAAGCCCTTACCGGATGGAGTGCTTGCTAAAAATAGCATTTTTGACCACATGGTTTGGCATAAGTGACGTGTTTGATCAACTAATTGACACATGAAGTTTAGTGACTATATTTGGAGATGCCTTTGATGGCTTTCTAAACCACTATATAATAGTGTAGGTCTCTCTTGCTTGGGCATTAGTAAGGATATTGAAAGCATGACTGATTTGATCTTGCACTCTCATAACACATATGTTGCTTTTTATTTTATGAGTAGCCACTTGATTTCAAAAAAAAACTTGTTTCAATCCAATGGATGTTTTTGTTTCAAAACTTTTTTTTTTTTAATTATGACAAATAGTGGGAGATTGTTAGTATTTGCTAATTTCAAAAAATATATATTATTTATTTATTTATTCGGTTGACACATGACACGTATGAGTTTATGATAGTATTTAGATTGGGATTCTAAGTGTAATAGGACTGTATTGAGATTAATTTGATGGATAACTAATTTTATTAAGTGATAAGAATTATTAGAGTCCTAATCACCTTTGGATGGGGGTTATAAAACCACTCAGTGGTTATGGACCCATCACATTTGGCCTCAAGATCCAAAGAGACCAGTGAACTCAATAAATTGAGAAAGAAAGGAGTGCAGAGGAAGCATTCAACAATAATGGTTGGAACACAAAGCGAAATCCAAATAGGTACGCACATTTGAATCTAATTTCATTTTATTTATCTGTTCATCAACTGAATGAGTTTTAAAACTTGCAATCCACTGCTTGGAGGCATCCAATGACTTGGAACTCTCACCCCCAAATCCATACTAGAGTTGCTAGTAACAATGAAGAAGGTAAAACTAGCACCCACTAGGGGTGTTCATTATACAGTTTAAACCGCTAAATTGAATGAAAATAGATTAAAATTAGCAATTTGGTCTGATTTGGACTTAGAAACGGATTGGTTCAGTTTGGAATAATTTTAAATTTTGGTGTATGATTTGGGTTCAGTTTTTTTCTTGAATTGTGAATGTAATTTATATGATAGTAATGGGTTGCACCTGTTAGTAATTCAGTTTGATATTTGAATTATATTTAGGGATGGCAATTTTGTGTATCTGACCTGTTCCGACCCTAATAGGACCCATTTATCAAAACCCTATAGGGTTTGGGTTTTGACTCTAGGGTATCTGGTATCCAATACCCAGGATGCATAAATATGCAACCTTTTAAAAAATGACCTAGAAATGGAACCGTTTTGGCCACTGGTTTTTTGTCAACGGTTTGACCACTTGGGTCAATGGGTTGTTGAATTTTCAACGGTTTTTTTACCAAAGATTAGGTTTGGGGTAAAATGAAACTGGTTGCCTAGATGATTTTTGGGCCGAACGGTCCGACCGTCCGGGTCAATAGTGGTTTGAAAACCTTGTAAATATAAACCTATTATATTATATATTATGCACAAATTTATAAATTTTAAGTATTAAGATAATTATTCTATTATTAATATTTTATTTGTATAAATTTTTTAGGATTAAAATCATCATTTGATGTAAATTTGGATTTGATAGATTGTTTATTTCATTTAGTTATAAAATGCTAATTTTAAATATTATTTATTTTAATTTTTAGTTGAAATTGTTAACCATATATATGGATTGATTGTTTTGATGAACACGAAAGTTAAATAAATCTATTTTATTTTATTAAATAACACAAAAGGTAAAATGGCTTAGTTGGCACTATCATTAATTGATTTGGGTTTAAATCACACTATAAGCATTAAGAAACTCTTTTTTTAGTAGAAAATGTTTGGTCAAGGGGTTTAATGGGCCGGGATGGGTTTAACAGGTTTGGGACAGGACAAATTTTGGAAATTAAGAAGAAAAATTAAGACAGATTTAGAATCAGGACACATAGGCGAGTTCAGAAATAGGTAGGGCAATTTGTACGAATACCCTTCCCATTGCCATTCGTAATTATATTTTGCTATTATGCAGGTATGACTGTGTTATTTGGGCTTTCTAATTATGCTAAACCCAATAGAATAGATAGCCCAAACTTTATTAGAAACTGGACCAAACCATTTTTTACGATTTGGCCTGATTTGATTTCTATTCTAAAATAGTTTGATATGAGTTCTTGTCCAAACCAAATAAAACCAGACCAGGAACACCCTAGCACCCACTTCTCCAAACTGAGCATTGGCCATTCTGATAACCCGATAACCCACCAAGGATTAAAAGACCATGGCAAAATACCACCCTATCGCGTTGCTTCAAGATCTGCCAGAGAAAGAATATATAGCAGCCTTCACACAATTGAGTCCAACCCAGTTTCAGATATAACCATTTCTCAAATGAATAAGGCTGCGATCCATTTCCTGGTTCAGAACTTATCATATTCAATGTTCTTTGATTGACACTTAAACTTTAACACAGGCCCAATTGATACTAACTACCGCTTGCCAACTCATTTCCAACATGCTACATCAAATAAATGGGTTAGATGTGATAGATGGATCGGGTCAGAAATTGTTTCCGCTGTTGTATGCATGATTAATAGTTTAATACGTTTTCTTGCTGTAATCCATAAAGGGGCGTCAAGGCATACGTGATATGTGTCTATATGTAAGTGTGTCACTTATATTTGTATATGTATATGCAGTACATAGATAAATAAAAAAATGTTAATGAATGTAACTTCCTAATCATATATATCATGCATCCAAATGGCCTAAAATAGGCATAATATGGGTTGGGCAAGAATCGGGTTCAACAGGACTAGAGCTACAGTCAAAAGCCCAGCCCAGTATTGGTTCAGTGAACCCGCATGTTGGTTGGGCCCTTTGACTGGCTGGACCAGCTTGGGTTAGAGCCAGCTTTAGTCAATGAAATCAAAACACACAATTTGTAAATCCAGAACCCAAGTATGAGAACACGGTTACCATTTTGTAGTCTGTATGGAATCTACTCCTCCGAAGACCCCAGAGCCCAATGGACGGAACCATCATTACGAAATTGCCTTTTCAATCAAAGAAAATGGAGAACCTTGGGTCACAGTCCTGGATAGCTAGCATCCAAATCACAAGCAAAACATTCAAACAGGGGCCTTTTCTAAGAAGCAATAATTTGTTACGCTTTCATACACATTCTTATCTTCCAAGTGCCAACCAACTGGTTAGTAAGGTCTCAGAGATTTGAAATTGAATTCCGCTTACACCTGAATTCCGTAGGGGGGTGTTATGGGTTGGGAGATGAGTAACACCCACTGTCACACACATTCATATCTTCATGCTTGCTAAGTTGCCATCATTATCATGTCATTTTGCCAAGCAATGTCATAATGGAGCTGAGGAAATATATGTATTCGTTGGGTGGAGGTGTTATATTGTCACTTCTCATTTTCCACATCTTTAAGTCTATAATTATGTAGCTAGGTTTTTCAATATATTTATGATATTATGGGTTGATCCATTTTGATTCATTTGATTGAATATCGGAAATCAAAAACAAAAACATTTTGTTTCTGCCCTTCAGCGTTGAATAGAGCAAGCATAGCTCAAAATATATATCAATGTACTAAATATTGTAGAATTCGGTATTTAATATGTTGAATATTGAGCGTGTAAAATTATCAATATTATATTTATTTTTTTTTTTTTAATTTCAAGCTATGTCTATTTTACCACTTTTAATGCACACCAGTCATTTTCTTGATTCCTATTATACAGTGTTTCGGTAACCCCTGAAAATCGATACATATCTATACTTTGATTTAGAGGGACTGTTTCATGCTTGAGTTTGGGATCAGCCCTCTTGAAACTGGGACAAATTGCTTCTTGTGCCAATCCGCCGGTCACAAGCACCTCATAATATGATTAGCCCCACTTATCCCTCATTTGGAATCTACTTGACAGTCTTTATTTATAGGGGTGTTCATGGTCCAATTTGGAGAAGATCTCAGACCAAACTAGTAAATTATGGTTTGAGAAATTTTCAAACCAAACAAAACTGTTTTGGTATAGAAACCAAACCAGATCAAACTGTTTTATTATGGTTTGGTGCAGTTTTTAATATGGTTTGGGAACTTGGATGATTCTATGATTCTATTAGGCTTAATCCAATTAGAAAGCCCAAATAGCTTCCCTAAAAATTAAAACTTAAAACTTTTATTTTATTATAAAATAAAGAGTTTATTATACATTTATAATTTTATGCACTCAATTTAGATATATTATATATAATATGTATACACTTACATTATATATATATATATATATATATATATATATATATATAAAATTTTGGTTTTACGGTTTGAACGGTATAATGAAGAGTGCAAAATCTTGTATTTTTTATGTATTTGTATTATATATATATTTGCATTTGTACTCTTTACAAACTGAGCTTAAGGATTTAGAACTAAATTGATTGGTTCTCAGGACAATTAGGTCTTACCTGACAAAAATATATTATACATTTAATATTATATATATATATATATATAGTTCAAGTTGGGTCTGAGTCAGCTTGGGGCTAGGAAGAACCAATTCTGAA